GTTGGGAGTTCGACTTGAGCGGAATCCCCCAACAGGGAATGTTTCTGTTTCCCTTAAATGTTCTTGCTGTATTGTTATTTTTGTTCTTGATAAGACGAGCGTCGGCCGCTGGGGCATGATTTTTCCCGACATCTTTCTTTGAAAAACAAATTCCAGAAAACCGAAACCCCGCTCGTGCTCAAAATCATGATTTACGAGAGAGCGGCGGGATGATTCCGAATCAGCCTTGAGGTCCGTCTGGACTCATCAGAGTAGTCCCCGCCGTCAAGCTTGTCGGACTCCCTGAAGCGGGAAAAATTCCATTCCGCGAGGAACGTCTCTTGATCGGCGACCCCCTGCTTGCGTATGCGACACCGAGAGGATCAATTACCGATTCCGCACAAAAACTGATCGATGTTGCAATAGTATTCCGGCAGTGAATATCCCGACCCCTCAATTTCGGCTGATCGGCTACCGCTCTCGAGGAGCTCCACGCCTCGTAGGGGCTAGAATCGATCGTCAATGACTCTCCGCTCTAGTTTCTATTTCTCTGTCCCCAATATTTTCGTGAACGATGCCGGCCGCCTCCTCCACGATTGTCGCCAATAAATGGAGCCTCCGAAGACAGCGGAAGAAATCTTTCGTATGCAATCAGAGCGCGACGCCAGTGTGATTTGTCCTCGGCGTCTTCCCGGGTGCGACCCTCGCCTTGATCGCGTGGCCGTTCCGCGTGGAAGAAACCTCACCGACCAATCAGCCTGACCCGACATCAAAACCCCCGGGTAAAGGTATCTTATTCCTCGAGGAATTTAGTCTTCGTACAGATCACAGGGCATCCTGATCAGACACTTCATCGCTCGATCGAGATTGCTTGACCACTTCAAGGGTTTCCTCCACTTTGCCGCGAAGTAGACCGTGAAGGAGAATCTCCAATCGTGACACAGAAAGACTTCCTGAGCCGGGAAACTGTGAAGGCCGCTGACAAGTTCTTGTTTGAAAGATGTAGGGGATAAGACTTGTAGACAAGGAGATTCGCTGTGTCCCAGAGGTCGTGTTCGCGCACCACAACAATGTACATACGGACACAGGGCTCTCTTGCGCTCCCATCGCATCGCTCGGGAAAACTCGGCGGCTTCGGAAACATCGCTTTATCTCGCACGGTAGAGTACTCGGGGACTATGCGGAAGCCTCTTTAAAAACACAGGGTCTCTCCGCCTGACCTTCAAAGAAAGCCAAGATCAGGTCGATCGAGTCATTTCGCTGCATATTTTGCCAAGGAAACTGAATGCAGCTCAGAGCATTTTCCGGAATCGCGCGAGTCCCGGAAGCCCCACAAGCAACTCATTAGTTCTCGGCCAGAGAAGTCTTGAATCAATGCGGATGGACATCCAAGCCGAGAGGCTCATTGGGAATCGACAAGGGCCTCACACGGGTCCCCACGAAGCCTCATTCTCATCAGTCATAAGTCAGTGTAGTGCATACGAAAACTCGTGAAGCATCCCTTCGAGAACTCGACGACTTCATGATCATTGGCGAGAGTCGTATGTAAGGAGATCGACCCTTTGTAAGCTCAGTTGACACACTCCATTCGGAGACTCGCTTCTCCCAAACTTCCGTTTCCCGTGCGCGTTTTTTATGGATAATGCGTCGGTGATGTCTCTAACTATCTCGGATGGGGTAGTTATAACTATGACGCATATGAATAGTAACTATAACGCACACTGAAAACGCGTACCCATCTGTTCGCTCCAACAGAATTAACGAAGGCTGCTCGGAGAAGCTCATCAGCGAGTGAGGGGAGGGGCCGGGTCGGCCGGCCGGCCACGGGGAACGGGACAAGGGCAAGAAGCAGAACCCAAGCGCCCTGAGATCTCAAGACAACGAGATGCATTGAAGAAAAACCGGTCCTGATTTGGAAACGACGCGCAATCGCTTGTTCTCTTTCCGGCTTCAGCGCTTCAAAAGTCGGCACTTAAGAAAGCAGTCGCTCCTCAGAGGGCGGTCTGGAACTCCGAGAACATCCTCCGGTCGCGGAAATCTTACGAAGTTGAATGAAGCGTTGCGATTCCAGCGCCGTCGCCGCGGGACGTCATTACAATAACTTTCTATGAGAATCAATTTTTTTCGTTTTTTTTCCCCTGGGGATCGAGCTGGATTCTTCTTCTCGGCGAATTCCCTCCTCCAGAGAGATGACCGGGGTGAGGAAAGTCCCGACGACACCATCCGAGGATAAATTATCCCCGGGCTAATCCTTCTTTTCTACTGAACGGAATCAGGTTCCGCGAGTTATTTTCGAGCTGGTCGCAGCTTCTTCATCTCTTTACATGGATATTGTGGGGTAGGTGGAGAGTAGCGTGTTATCGTTGCAATGTTTCGACGCCTCAGCGTCCCGGCATCCCGCGTGCGATACACTGACTCCCGTGAATATTGTAGTACCCTTGTGTATCGGAGAGAAAACGATCGCGACTTATGGTTTGCAGCCCATTCGCAGGCGGGAGGGGGGGGGAGGGAACGGACATCGACAAGGTCCTCCCCCGGAAAGATCCTTTCGCGCCGTCGTACCCTCGGTTCTGCGACGGAAGACATCAGCTGAGAACTGAGTCTCGATGCATGGGAATCGGCATCTGAATCGAGGCCACATGGAACCCAATCTGATTCTCCGCTCAATCTAATCTGGTTCCTCCAGGGCTCAGCAGAGACATCAGTGAAACGAATAATTTCATTCGTGTCCTGATCTATCCGTGACTGTCTTCTGGGCGAAATGGATTGCCGTTCCACTCAACTCTGAGTTCGAATCAAGCTCGAGATACTCTACACGAGCAAACACCGTCCGAAATCGCCCGACGGAATGTTTCTCGCTCATTGCTCCATGTTTTTCGATACCCATGGTCGCGATAGGTACTTCGGGGGGCTCAGCCCGTGCTCCGATCCGAGCGCGTCTGTAATCGGAACGAGGCTTCCACATCGCTCGGTCGTAAGTTCCACAAGCAGGGAAATCCCCCGAATCCGTTCCCGTTCCCGGATGAAATTTTGTGGAAGCCACCGCTCCCTTTCCGGCGGGGCGGCCTTGAGTCCAGGTCCGCCTTCCACTGGAACAATCTATCTTCCCGTTCCTCCTCATAATTCCGACAGCCTCATCGTTCATGCCTCATTTCGCGTACAGCCTTCCGCACGCATCTCCGCTGTCTCGCCCAGTGCGTCTTCAACGCTCATCGAACATTTTCCCGAGTCGATATGCGGTTATCTCTCCAATAATTTCGAGTGTTCCCGAAGCTGGCGACGGAAAACCCAAAGCGATCTAGCTCTCGGCAGGGGGGTTAGTTTGGGATTCGGTGACTTCCCAGATTCAAATGCCATATTCACAGGTTTAATGCTCATGTCATAATACGTACAATCGGTCGTCGGTCATAACGATCCGAGATGCTCCAGGGACGGCGTCTAGTTCGAACGATGACTGAACGTTTTCGCGAGGCCGGGTTAAGGATATCTGAATCGACCGAATAATTCTCGAAGAAGCTTCTCCATCGGAGAAAGGGAAGCACTCTGGGAACGCCTGCCCATGATCATGGCGAGCGGAGCTGAGTCTCCGAATCTCGCGGGAGCAGAACAGCCCGATTCCGGGATCTGCGGCGTCAAAGCTTCCCCCCATCCGCTGTAGACGGGACGGTCTCTCCACTCGCAGGTCTCGCTGACAAGCGACAGATGCCCATGTTTGTAATAAAACGGGTCGTGCTGCGTGCGCCTGTCTTTCTCGCTACGAATCCTGAGCACAAACGAGAGAACCCGCATGAATGATTACGCCGTCGGAGCGGAAACTACATCGGAAATGCGGAGAGACTCGTATTGGAAACTAGCGGAACAGAACATACGAACGACAGTGTACCACGCACGCCCACAACAAACGAAAGTGGCCCACGGAACCTGCGTTCAAGGGCCGCTGTCGAACTAACTTAGCCGGACGTAGATGGTGTCCGAACTTTGAAACGAACTATCGATCGATACTGTTTTTTTCCTCCGCCATAGAGACCCAGATCGCGTTTCTGCCGAGAAGTCTGCCATCGAGCGACCTCAAAACCGTTCTCTCGCTTTTCTACGCGGCGCAGTTTAAAACCCCGGAACGATTCAATAAACCACTCGTAAATATTGGCGCTCCGTCTGGCCGAGGAAGCGGTAGAAACATTGTTACGTAAAGCTCCACGAAGCTCGAAGCGAATTCTTTATCTACCTCCTTCGGAACTCCTTCGAATTTTTTATCTACGTCCTTCGATACTCCTTCGAATCCTTCTCGCTACGCCAACTTCCCGAAAATGAAATTCGGCTACCGATCCGCAAGGCCCATGAACAGCTGTCTCCCCCTGAGCCCTGAGCACGACTTCCCGTTGCGTGGAGTCAAGACGCCTTTCCCTAAACACTCTTATTTCGTCGCGGCGCGGCGGCAGCATTATCGTCCCCAAAACCGGACCGCTATCCGCTCCCCTACGCTACGATGCGACGTTTCGAAAGCAGAGCCCCGGCGCAAGGCGGATCGAATGTGTTTCCGGAAGCTTCGCCTCACATTCACATTCCTCCGAATGTCAAACGTGAGTTAGTCGACAAGTTAGAGAAAAGTCTCTCCGGTTCCCTGCGAGATAATCCGGTAATTCGTTTCACTCTACGAGTGTCCCAGTATACGTCGCCTACGTTCTGACACTGACGCAATCGCAGAGCGAGCGACGACGCGAACGGAGCTAGCGCCACCCAAGTAAATCCTTTTATCTTCGGGAGTTCTCCGTACTCGTCCGGTGGGACGAATGTCAGAATTCTTTCCTCTGAAGCTATCGTGAGGCTTTCAGTTGAGTTCTCCGTGCAGTCCGTCCCTCGTTCTGCGTCGATGTAAGCCGGAAGAAATTTCGAAAACTCGAGGTGGCCGAATGCGGGCCGGAGAAATTATTGATGTAGCTCCGCTCGCAGGACGCTCGTGGAGCTTGAGGCCGCGTCGAATGACTGGACGGATTTCATACGGCTCTGGAACTTCGTCTCACCTGGTCACTCATGATGCCTGCCGACTGCTTATCCTTTGCCTCGACGCGGAGAATGTAATTTGCTCTGTATTTCACTTGAGGCTTTCCGCAGCCTGATGATTATTCTGATGTTCTTGTTTTGATTCTGTCGGTGATGGTGGTTGTTGCTGTCGCCGGATTCGAGCGGCGGCAAAGAGCCGAAAAGTACTCCGATCGGCTCCGTGGATGGAGATTCCGTGAAGAACTCGGTCGAGTTGAACAACTGTCGACACAAAGTCCTCGATGCCTGAGATCCCGGAGGGCGGGGAAGGGAGTTCGGATTCACAGTAGAACGGTTTATATTCGAAACAACAGTTTTCGCGTTCGGAAGCGGTACGGGCGATCTGAAGCGGAGCCTGAACTCGAGTGACGTGCGACTCTGTGTTTTGGCGGGTGGCGCATGCGCTTCCGCAGGAGAAAGGGTCCGGCTGCCTGAGGGACCGGCAAGCTAGCCAGCTAGCGAGTTGGCTCACTCGCAGGATCGCTCACACTGGATTGTAGGCTGGCTAGCAGAACTAGCTGGATGACCCGAGGAATCCCATGACTAATGACTACGATGGTCATGGGCGAGCAGCTGACCGGAGAGTCGGTCTGCTTAGAGAGGCCAATAAGCACATTTCACCACCCGAAAAATCTTCACGTCGAACAGGAGCCGAAAGATAGCGTGACTGGGGGCTGCGACCCTCCTGGCATTTTCGGCTTTCCCGACGACCGTGTTCAAGGGACATATACACCAGGACCGGAAACACTGCCCCAGAACTAAACGACACTCAGTTCCGCCGAGAAAGAACAAAAAGACGCGAACATCGGAAGATCGAGGGGATCCAATGTTCCCGTCGTAGATCTCCGAGATTTCTCAGGAGGAGAACTTCCCTCTAAATCTTCTATTTCTGTCGGTCACAGTGATCGGACACCACCGCCTGAAGCGTACCAAGCCCTCAAATGAGGATCGGCCCAGTTTAGGGAATAGCGAAATCGCTCCGACCTTTCGAAATGAGGATACATCGTCGATTCGGTCCCGAGAAGCGGAGTCCTGGGTATTTTGATAGATCTCTCGTCGGATTCCCGTTCGATGAAGGAAGGAGACTGTTCGCGTGTATTTTCGAGCTCTAAGTACGGAGGCAATGGCTGAATTTCATTCCGATATATATTCGCGAAGTATGGCAGAGAGGAAAAATGACGCGAATGAATTTCGGGGGACATCTCGTCTCTTTTTATTGAAACTCTGCTCTTGTGTAGACGATCTCCTTGACGGAGTCTTTTACTCTGGAGCGCCATGGATCCATTTGTGAAAATATCCCGAAAAACTCTTGCAACACTCTCACAACTCGACATTAAATTAATTTCGAAGTTATAACACACAACAACAGGTTTCTGACCGCTGACACCAGGATTCGAAACTCGCTCGCCGGTCTCCGATAGTTTTGACACTCAGTGAGACAGGCGACAAATCGATGCGGACCCCGCTCTCCGCTCTATCTTCCGTTCGGGGCTCAAACTATCACAATATTAGACACCTCTGCGTCTGCGCTCTGTCGATTCTCGCTCTCGGAGAAGGTCCGACTCTGGAAAACAAGTGAGAGCCATCGTCGATTATTATCTCTCTAAGAGAGATCGCGCCTTACTGGTCCCTAATTAAATCCATGACCTTCCAATATTATTACCAAGATATTCCATCGGTCGCGCTCACCTCTTCATGCACAGCCATCACGGGGAGCCGCCTGCTCCGATGGATCCTCGACTCGCCGAGAATGTTGATGAAATGATTATCGTAGACTCGATACTTGTCGCCGGTGCAAGTTGTTTCGAAGATTCGCTCTCCCGAGATCACGTCGCAGTAGAATCCTTCTACGGGGAGGCGGAACGAAGATAGAAATCGAATGAGTCAATTTTCGAAGAAGACGCAACAACGCTCAGTCAGAATCGGAGTGCGAATACACGCGCTACGAAGATCCCGGCCGGAGAGGCCCTGAAGCTCTCAATCATGCAGCTTCAAGAATCAGGATTGGGTTTGAGACGTGAAGCACACGCTCATGAAAACCGATTCAAAGCCGATTTAGGATTCTCAAAAGGACCTCGTTCCACGCTCATTGAGGTAGTGAGAAAAGGTATCGCGGAACTTCCGAAGCGTTCCCGCAGGGTATCAGGCCGAAATATGCACGATTTGGCAGACATGCAAGAACGTCGCTGCGCGCCGTTGTCGTCTCACCTCTCAACGTAGTGTTGAAATCTCCTCTAGCGGCTTTTTCACCGGTTGCCACGACGACGAATGACCTTTCCTTGCGTGCGAACGAGAGTGTGTCTCCTTCATCGCTGAGGCGGATCTGGAAGATTTTCTTTCAGTTTGTGCTTTTCTTAGCCCTTTCGGTATGACACGCTAGAGTCTCGACGTCGGCTCCGCGAGCCCCCTGCTCCTCCAGACCATGGTCGAGATGTGCTCCCCGTTCGCTTCCCCTGTGGGGGGTCGAAGGCTTGCGAAGTCTCTAGAGATGAAACCGATAGGAGCACAACAGATTCCGATCCGTTAATCGTGTTCTCGAATTTCAGAAGATCCCGCATTAGATGAATACCTCATGAGACCCTGCGGATTTGTGGACAGCGTCCCCAGAAAATTGCCCTCTGCCTTTCCCGTCACTCGCGCGAGAAGTTGTGTACGTATGTATGTGCCACAAGAACCAAGCCTTTATAGAAGTATCTCTCTTTCGGAGAGTAGTCTTATCGGAAGTTCAAATTCCCCGAGGAGAGTCCGTTTGAGTATACGGGGAACTTTCCGCCAATGAGTCGCGGAACGAGCTCCGATATCATGATCCTCGGGAGAAAACTCGGCGATGGGGAAGGAGCGGCAAAGCAGGACAGGGGAAATACTCACATTCAGAGCAGCACTCCTGCCAGCCACATTCCTCCATACGGGGAAATGACAGAGAGGCTTCTGTCGGTGGATGCAGTCCCAGCCCGCGGCGCATAATCCCTCCTGGAAGCAGAATGGAACACCATTTATTAGCATTACTGCCTGTCGCAGTCTGAACGCGGATCTAATCAAGTAATAAGACGGGACCCCTAATCGAACCTTTGTGGACACCACTGGGAGCGTGTCGAAATCTGGCGACGAAGGTGGCCCGAGGTCCTCCGAACGCATTCCTGGCGCGGGAAGTTTCCGCGGCTTCCATCCTGAGGCATAGAAGATTTTCGCTTAGACGCCGCGTCCTTCGGGGAGCCGAACAGGATGCCCTCGACTCAGCCCCGAACCTCCACCTGGGTCCTACTTCGATTCCGGCGACGGCGTTTAGGTCACGAGTCAGGCAGGGATAGCTCTGTTGAAGACACTTGCGACCCTCGATCGACATCGATACCCCTCGCTTTCGTATTCACGTCCCGTTGTGAATGTGAGATCACCTCGGTCGGCTGACGGGCCGAAGTGAGTGTCGAGGATCAGCACAAGGGTCTGATCGACTCCATCAGCGTGAATAGATAGCTATCCGACCAGCTCAGAAATCCTATTCGTTCCGTTCGAATGAGAATCGGCGCAAACCCATCAGCCGATAGGTTGGTCAAAGATAGTCTCACCTGCGTAAATGAGGGGGATCCCGCGGGGCAGAGTCATCATGACTATGTTTACCAACACGCGCCGCCAGTAGTCATTGATCGATGCCGCCCGGAAGACGTCCTCGCGTGCCAACGAAAATACCTGCGGTGAACACAAAGCCTCCGTTACGCTCGCGGATTCTTGTTCTTCAGAGCCCACTGTTCTACGCGAGGTCTGGCTGGCATTGTCCCGGCGTAAATATAGACCCGTTTCTTCGTATTTGTCAACATGAGCCTGCACCTGATCCGGTCGTAACTGCCACAAGCTTTCTTCTCTGGTCAACAGTGCCCAAGTACTTTGACGCCGTGCGATTTTATCAATATTGGACGCGAGTGTGGTGTTGACTAGAACTCCTAAAGAGGAAAGTGCCACTCGTGAACTGCTCGACGCCAACGGCGCGTCGAAGAATACAAAAGGCGAAATTGGATTCGGGTCGTGCAGCGTTGTCGACGGCAGAAGCTTATCCAAAATTGCCTGAAACGAATGGGACTTGCTCTTGAACAGAATTCCCCTAATAGGCAAGTTCTGGTCGACTTCGGCAGTTGTCGAAGTCAGACGGAGCTCCCGCAACGAAACCTATTAAATCGCCACCTACCTCGAGATCATAAACATCCAAGCGGTCTGCATACGCCACTCTGAAACCACTAACTCCAACTAGTTGTAACGTTTGAAGGTAGGTGCCGAGCACGTTCTGGACGTGAACGCTTTGGAGGTCCAAGCGGAGCCAACCTTGCTCGCGGCAGTTCAGAAGCTGGCTCCGGTCACTGTGGGATCCGAGTAGAATGTGAGTCTCATCATAGTTCCGGTCTTAAAAACCCGGATAGGACATCGAAGCGAAAAAGTGCTGAATATCCCCTGGATCCCGCCGAACTTCCGGAGTATGATAAAGATCGCTCCCTCAAAATCCAGGCCATGGGAGTTTGACGCAGCTTCTGCCAACTGAACTGATTTACGTTCTTATGACGTGGTTTGAACGCCTCTGAGCGGAATCAGCATCGGGAAAATGGGAATCGAATTTAGGCACGCGCCGTTCCGTGAGGGAAAGACGTAGTGCCTTGAATCGTCATGAATGCATGATCGTAGTTCTGAGGAGCAGCCGTTTTCTCCGCTCATTGGACGAACGTTTCCCGGCTCATTTGACGGAAGCACGGCTAATCACTCGAACTCTGACTGAGAGAGTGGATATACATTAGAGCGCGGGTCCGATTTGAGCGCAGGTCCGATTTGAGCGCAAGTCCGATATGCGCGCAAGTCCGATATGAGCGCAGGTCCTGTGTGAGAGCAAACCAATTTGAGCGCAGCCGATTCGGGCGCGAGCCGATTTGCGCGCAGCCGATTGAAGCGCGAGCCGATTTGCGCGCAAGTCCGATATGGATAACATACATGAATGACACCGAAGAATGATTTATCTCACGTACATGTTTATTAAGTAGAGTTTCGGAAGTCGGTCACAAAAATCACAGGTTCGGACAAGGAACAACAAATGAACCTAGGTAGAATATTACTTCTGAAACTTGTAAAACGTCAGAATCGGTTTTCGTCGATTTCATTTCACTCGCTGCTTCGAGAGTAGCCTCACGTAGATCATTCAATTTCTTTCGAACTTCGACAGCCACCGAGTCAGGCGCATGCTCGTGCTCCGGGGAAACCTTTCGAGGGATAACGGGGATCGCGGGGGGATATCTCCAGAGAATGTATGTTCGGACATTTATCACACCCACCGTGACTCTGTCAACGTCGATTGAGGCTCGACTCGAGCATCTTTTTTTCAGACACCGCCACGTCTCTCGACCTCGGCGGAACTGATGGCCGTCATACGAGAGCAATGGTTTCCCTTTTGTCGATGAAAGAAATTGTATCGACATAGTGGAGCTACTTTCTCCGCATCGATGCAAATTATCGCGGCGCGGCGTCGAGACACGCACTGTCATCTGTCAGGAATCCCGAAGGATGATCAGCGCCACAGAACAAACACTTAGCGGCGAGCATTTCGAACTTCATATCCACTGAGCTGTGGGCGCGTGAATAAGAGATCTCTCCCGTGGATCTCATGATATTGATATGGATTTATTGCCATGAGTTACATCCAAGAGCCAAGGGCTCGCTATGGACTGGCGAGGCTCGCTATGTACTGGCGAACGGGTTCATAAGGTTCATTCGTTACTCATTAATTGACGTCATTCATTGATGCTATTCATATCGGACTTGCGTTCATATCGGACTTGCGCGCATATCGGCTTGCGCTCAAATCGGCTGCGCGCACATCGGCTGCGCTCAGATTGGTTCGCGCTCATATCGGACTTGCGCGCATATCGGACTTGCGCTCAAATCGGACTTGCGCTCAAATGTTTAGCCACCGACTGAGAGCACCCCAGACTACCGAAAAATCATTGAGCCGCTTCGTGTGTTGTCAGTCGTTACGGCCATAACCTTCAGCTCGGCTCTCGTCGGTGGAATTCTCCGCCTATTCTCGCCCGGCTTGCGTCGGTTCCGTCTTCGAAACCCTTATCTCCATCACACGTTGCCAGTGTTATTTCACGGCAACGCGACGTACTGTCCCACACAAAGGTGTGTCGAGCTCCGTGGGGCGCCCGATTCAAGTGAGATATAATCGAGATGACGCCGACGATGGTCAGTGAACGGAATTCACCGCCCCATGAACGTCCCGGGCTGGTTTGAGTATCGCAGCAAGCGGAAGCCCCAAAAAATCAAATGGAAAAAGCACCGTGACATTCCCCTTTCGAGCGATTCCCTTCTCAAGGAATGTCCATGCTGGGTCCGGGTCGATCCCGGAAATTCGAACGTGCGTGGAACATCGCGGTTCCCATCGTCCGTCCCCTTTTTCGCCCCGATGACCAGCCTAGAGGGAAGTCGGACAAGCTCCGAATTCCCCGTTCGTAGAGGGGTCCTACCTTGGGTCTTCGACGTTGCCGCTCCGTGTGGGGCATCTCCCCTTTGGGAAGAAGTCGGTCGCATGGAAGTCTTCAAAATAGATATTCGTCGCGTCGAATTCTGTTCCCGCGTAGCTCTCGTGCGACGAGTTCGATGTCGTGTGCCCTGAAAAGCATATGCGTTCTCCCTAAAAGCGTTATGAGAGAAGGGTAGAAACCCCGCATTTCGAATGCTGAATATCATGGATCTAGTTTATTAGAGTGGCGGAGCCGATGTCCACCAAGACAAACACCCGGCCACGCAAAACGCTCGCCGGAGCTGTCAGACACATTCCAACCGAGACTTGGTTCTCCGTTCTCGTCAATCACCAAGTCTGTGGCATACGATCGACTGCCCAAAACGAGGCCGATCTCGATTCGGAACACGTCGTCGCGCGCCGCTTCCATGCCGGGGTAACCACCGGAAGAGGGACGACCCCTACCAGCATGGACGCATGGGCCAGTTCGAAGCGGCCGCGGAGTCCCACCTTCCGATGCGATTCCCCAATTATAGAAATGCTGTTCGATGCCATCTCGAGGTTCGGATCAGGAGCCCGAGCGGAAGGGGAGGCTCCGAAACCTAGGAATCGAAGGAGATAGGATCACAGCGACAGCCCTCCTGTGTTTCAATATTTCGATCGTCTGTAGCGGAAGGTTATCATGAGAGACATCGGTGATCCTCGAGCGTCATCAGAACAAATGCGAATATTCTGCTCGTTGTATCGGTGGTGGATACCTACGGCCGGGTCGTCGCGGGCACCAAGTGCATCGCCAGCATTTAATTCGTACATGGGATGACATCGATGCTCGGTCGCTGACTCATCGATGAATTATGTCTCCGAGTCGCGCAAATTGTCTCCGGATCGATAAATGAAGTATGTAGCCGAATCTCGCGTTCGGAATCAACAATCATTTTCCATGACGGGCGCGCCACGCGTTCGTCCTCAACGTTCGTCCTGATAAATCTTCGCCGTCTCCGCAGAAGAAACCGAATTAGTGCTTGTTGCGGTACGGGTGCCGGTCGTGATCGTGCGAGCGGTGGCAAGTAGTAGTAGTCGTGGTAGTAATTCTAAAGCGACGCAGTCAAAGCCGCCGGAGGAGATGTACCTACGCAGACTTCGGCGGATTCCGCTCTCTCTGCCTGGAGCGGAGATGTTTGCTCTCTTACAGACTCGCTCGCTCAGACACCGCCGGGCCGCCACCTCCATCGAGCTTGGCTCGCTCGCGAGGATGCTCGTAAGAGAATCTACTCACCGAGAACGACGTCTACATATACTCTGATGTTGTTTTCATTACACGCCTGAACCATTCGTTTGAACTGCTCGAAAGTTCCGCTGGCGCTGTCGAGTTTCGTGAACGACACCGGTTGATATCTGGAGCGATAGCAATAAAAAAAGGAATTATACCCTCGTCATTATAAAATGAAACGTTCTCGCGCTCATCCCCCACTGATTCCCCTGACCCGCAACTCTGCCACCGCTTCTGCCGCGGGGACAGCAATAACTCCTCGAGGTCGGCGGGGAATGGCGCCGGCAGAGCGGTACAGTGCACGGCCGGGATCCGCGCACGCATGCGAACTATTGCAGCTGCTGTTCTGCGAATAGAACCTCAAGCAGAACCGGAGACATTTTTCTACAGGGTACGAGCGACCTTGAGAGGAACCGCTTGTTCTGGAACGGGGTATCGGAATATTTTTTCTCCTGCCTGAACACAAAGAGTGCGAACGACACCGACGGCAGCGGATAAATCGCGCACGCGCGTGAGGGGGAGCGAGGCGCCGGGTACTGAGGGGGCGCTTTGGGGGGAGTCGATTCATATGCTGATTTGTCCCATTCGAAGCCGTACACGACGCTCACCTTTCGGTATACTGTCGATACTGCAACTGGCCATCGAGAACTCGACCGGTTTTGAAGGCGTGGTCGTTCGGAGCTGAGACCTAAAAAGAACAGCGATCACGACGCTTTAGCTAATGGCGGTCAAGCGAAAGAACTCCGCTGATTGAGATTGTCGACGGGGAAAATGTTCCGGCAGCCTCATTCACAGTTCATCAGCCCGACCGAGTGTTTGCGATCGATACTTATCAGTGGGAGTGGACAATGGTTCCTCTTCATGTCCACTGCACCGTCAGTCCATCAGATTGATTGGTCACACTGAATCTGTCGGTCCTGCCCGACACACGGCCGGAAGAAATAAAATGTTTACGAGATAATCACCGTCAATCTGTCTGTCATCTGACGACTGCCTGGCCCATCCATCTGTCTGTCAGCGAAGAATAGAGGCCATACAGATCAGGCTGACGAGAGGACTCGCCATAAGAGTGGACGACGCGACGTCGACACCGCGGCGTCACCACTGCCGGACGACTTCCGAGATCAAAGGCGGGCTTTCGAGGGTGTGGTTTGCCGCCGACGCCATCGTCGTCGCCAGGTAGGTCCATGACCGACTCATCTTGCACGAATCCGTGGAGAAAGTCTAATCACCGCCCGATGGCGTTTGGAACAGTGCCATCGGACGTTATTGCACCGCGTCATTTGGTGGCTGACTTAAATGAATTCATGGAACATCCATTCAGAGCGGAAACTGCGAGCGCTTTCACGCCGTCGAGGGGCCTCCACGCATGACCTGAGGGACCTCGTGGCAGTTTATTTTTTTATTTTTATTTTCTCCCACTCACCAGAACTGCTGCGATTTGCCATTTGTCCAAATGCTCCGAACATTCCCTCTGCACGTCATCGTACAACCACTGGTCCAAGTGCACGATTGTGCTCCGCGTTGAGTAGAAGTTGGGCGTTCCCCAGAACCGACTCTCGGTGAAGCTGATGATGCTTAACGAATAAACAATCGAAAACAACGGCGCCACAAAAGGCATTGTGTATATTCCTAGTCCACGGGAGCCCGTTTCATCGTCTCATGCTGTGGGAGAAAAAAAAGGAAGAAATGAGCCTGAGTCAGCAGTTGTTTCCCTCGAGCCCGGTCTGCAGCCTCGATCTGCTGTCTGTGAGTGGTAAAGATTAATTTCCTGGAATTAGGGCCCCGTTCGTCAGAGGCGATTATCTCAACTGTAGAGGTGAACAAAGTAGGATCCATTCGCTCCGAAAACTTCTACGTCCCGCTTCTCTGACTATCCTCATTAAGCCTTACGAGCATCGTTGACTCCGTAAGGCGTACGTTCCAAGGTCACAGAAGAATATCTTCGTCCTCGGGACGATCTCTACGTTTAAATCAGACGAGGAAACCGAAGAGTTCGAGTAGTAGCGAATTTCAGATCGGGACTTGACATATCCGGTGTCGTCAAGGTGACGACGATCTCCAGAAGTTGCGACAGTTCTGCGAGAAGGTGACGATGCACGCTCCGGCTGATCAGATTCCGTCCGTATAAGCAGATGACCTTTGACGAAAGGAAAGGAGCGAACGAAAAAGCTTCTGAGTATCTCGGCGATTTCTCCCTCGGTGGAATGACATCCGGTCCCTTTGATCCTTCGACTTCCACGCCTTCAATGCTGTGGTAATCGAATCCGCACTGACAGAGGCTCGTCCAAGGACAGCGTCTTGGTATTTTTTTCCCCGGAAGCGAGTCCCCCTTACAACATACACGGTCTGGAGAAAGCCGATACGCGTCGCCGAAAGTCTCTTCTGCGAAATTCAGTCTCGGGATCTGGGCACGGGATCTCATTCCGATTTGGGCAAACAGGTCGAGGAAAAAATTTTGCCTATTGTAATCAGTGAGGGGAAAACCTCGAAAACGGTGAGGAGAAAAAGATGTAATAACATTTAATGACTGGGGCCCTTCGGACGCGCGTGCCATTTTGCGGCCTCTCATACATAGCCGTCAACAGTGGTCCTGCGTATCGCTTCATCCCTGCGGTCGGTCCGTCGGCGCATCGTCCGCTCGTCCCTGCGCCGCTGCTGACCACTGTGCCCTTTTTCAGGTTGATTCAGTTTCGCTTAAGAGTTTCACAGCTCAGCCCGATTTTCTCAAACATTTGGCTTGAATGAAGAGAAGAATAAGAGCCATTCACAAGTCCACGAGGCGATTTAGATATGCATTGATGGAAGCGACGCACGGCTCCATTTAGCACGAGTGACTGGAACGGTCGACGAGCTCCTTTTGCTTTTCCCGCGTATTACCTCGGCGAGACTCCTTAAAGAATCGCCCACACGACGATAAGTCGTTCTCAGATCATTCCCGTTGAACTCGTCGTCTGACCCTGACTGAACTACCTACGAGAGGCGATAACGATCGTCACGGAATATTCGAGCTCGGCGGGCTGAGCTCTGTGTGACTTCGCTTGCGCTTCCAGATCCGATCCAAGCGAGATGAAGAATTCCATTCCGATCGAGCGCGCTTTTGGACATCTCGGTCCCGCTCATCGTTTCAACGCCAGTGTTGTACCGTCGTTGATTGGGTCCCGGAGAATTTCTCGCGAAAATATCGATCGACCTAAGCGCGGCAGAACGCAGTAATCCGAGAGTCGATTCCTCCTCGGTTTTAGTCACTAAGGCCGACAGTGTTCTAGGATTCGGTCAGGTGGACCGGGAGGGTATCCCAGAAGTCGTTCAGGCAATCAACCGATCGGTGTTCCGGCTTTTCTGTTCATTGAGAATGTGCGAAATCGTCGGAGGGATGCCCTTGTTGCGTATCAAATTGAAAGAGCGCTCAACGAGGGGAACAGAGCAATAGTTATTCAGATCTAGTGCCGGCGACGGTGCAAGCGACACGGACACGCGGACGTCGGAGCTCCACGTCAGGCTCCAGTCGACAGCGCCCGTTTTATGGAAGCGGCAATGCTTCCGAGTGATTTCGCGACACATCGGAAGCGTGAAGGTGTTCTTCGACGGTGGCCCCTTTTTTACAGAGCCGAATTTACAACTCAAAGCCTGCCGGAATCGGAGTAGTAACAGCCGTCGCCGCCGCAGCAGCGACAGTCTGTAACCAGATAAGCCTCTTGTCCTTCCTTTGAGGAGGACGAAGGAGAGCCGCGGCTTCTGCGCCACAAGACAACGCTGACAGATGATAGAGAAAGACTGAATGAGCGCGCGGAATGGCTCCGAGCTAAACCTAGAGCTAACATATGTAGTATTGGCACGTCGTGCGACCAGGGCGTCAGAGCAAAGGTCAACACGTCAGCTTATCTCACGCGACAGAATCTTTCCGCATTCAGAGACACTTCGATCGCTCGAAACAGCTGACTCGGAATTTCTGTCGCCGTCGTCGTAGCATCGCCGTGTCTGCGTAGACATCGGCGACGTTGTCGAGGCTGTTCGCCCCCGATAGCAGCCGATGCGAACGGAAGTTCCCGTGGTTCAAGTTGCGAATCATGCAAATTCCCAGATAGCGAACTCGCCACACCGCTAGAGACATCACTTGCGAGCGCGGAGCGATTAGGTCCCTGTATGTAAGTCTCACAGTGACATCGACTTCGACGACGACGTGCCGAAGAGCTGTGGCAGTCGTTCCGAGATCCGGAAAGTGTCTGAGCGTGTCATCCGTCGACGAGAGGGCTCATGAGAAAACCGCTCGTCGCAACAGGCGACGACCTGGGTGCGGTGGTTTGTATTACATGTTCGCGCGCCCCGGGACCTTCAGAAGTTTCTGAAAAGCCAGCCGTGCACTTGAGTGATATGCCCTCGAGCAGCGAGTCTCCGCGATGACGAGTCTTCGCTGTGGAAGAGCTCCTGGCTGTCCCGTCGATGCTTCGAGAGGCTTTCATTTTGGAAAAGAGCTCATGATCGGCGGAGACCGGGGCCAATTCACGATTTGTTTCCGCGTTTCGGTCTCACCAGGTACGGCATCGACCCCATACTATAGAATTCAAAGGACGGCGATCAGAGCCAGAAACGCTTCGCACACGATTAAACCATTCTCTATGCGTCCGATCTATTATTCCCGTAGTTCATTTATCAGCATCTCACAACGCGAGCTAAGCCCGCCGGCAGCACTTCTACGCTCTCGCGTCGATTCTGCGAGCTTTAGCGACCGCTTTTCGGCCCATCTTCGTCTTGGGCATTTCATCGAGCGTTCTTAGGAATGTTCCTCCGGTCGTTCGACAATTATGAAAAATATTTCGATGACCGATCGAGCCGATTAGGCGCCTTGTACGACGGCGACGGGGAACAGAGGATGACATCGCCGTGGTGGTGGCGGCCGGCGCGGCAGCGCTTGTGAACAAGGTAGATCCGTAGCTGAGATGTTCGAGTTTCCAGTGATATGAATCGCTATCTCGCAGTTCCGATCGAAGACGGCTCGGGTCGTAAGAGTTCAGTTGAGTAACTGACTGATTGTGAGTCGTTCCTGCACCAAATACGCTCTGCCCATTAAACAGGCAATCTTCGATCGACGGCTGTCGTTGGCAGAAGAGGGAAAATTTTCAGAAGCTCGCAGCCCCGAAGAATTCTCCGCGCACCGCGGAGGCTCGACGGTATGGGCGCTCAGTTCTCCGCAGGCTTTCGACCTCGCGGGAACTCCATGGATCCCGTAATGGGTCGGGCGGGCTTGCGGTCAGACAAACGACTCGGTTTTCAGATGGGAACGCGAACACCTTCCTACGCCAAGGAGCCATTACAGTATGAGTTCAGCCGCGACTGCGCGAAAATTTTGTGGGCCGGAGTTCTTCTCTTAATTGAGGCGGCTCATGAAAATGCGAGATTCATTATGGTTCCCCGAATGAGTAACAAGCAGAAGAAATTTGATGCAAATTAACTCGCTTGCACGGCCATACGGTACACGGAATCTAAATCCGGACGGTGTCTGGCGCGGATCTCCACTCCAGAGCCACCGGCTGAGACGATGTTGGTGAATCTTAGCTCTGGCCTCGTCTAGTTCACCAACTGGCCACTATCGAGATCGGATTTCCAGCCTGGTCTTTTTTCACGGAACAAGGTCCCCGGAAATGCGTCGCGAACGTTGCTTCCCTTCGGCGGCGACACGGTGGATACATCAACGAATGTTATCATTGTCAGGACCCGGATCCGACCATTTGACAGGTTCCGAGAGGAATCGACAGATTATTATTCGAACAAGCCCGTGGAGAATACATACGAAGCTGATAGCTGTCAGAAGGCGCCGCCAAAACTTCGAATGGAAACCGTGTGAAGGTCGAAGATCACGGCGACCGGCAGCCCATGTCGCCGTCCTCGAAAAGTAAATATATCTCGCTGTGAAGTTCCTTTGGACTTTGTAAACATTCACAGGGTCGGGTTTGTTTTACTCTCAGAGAGGATCCTCGTCCACAATACGAGCTCGCTGTTGAGCAGGGATGAGCGAGTGCGGCCATTTAAATTATTCTGGGCGCGATTCAGGGACCTACGGGAGCGAATCGAAAGAGCAAGCCGAAAACTCTATCGGCTTCCAAGCCTACGGTACGAAGGGAAACTATAGCCGCTGAGAGATAGCACTCACTTCAAGTCGATGTAAGCTGAGCAGAAAACATTCCAGGACTCACGTTTCTCCTATTTCCGTAGGCGGCTACCAGCTATCCATTAATCACGGATGCTCGCAAGCTTTCACTCACAAACGAAATCATAGTGGGAGTTCTAGAAAGAGGGATAGTGCATTCGAATTGTATCACAGGTTCGGATTCACGAGATGACGCGCGCCTCCTCAGTACAACTCCTCGTTCTTTCCGATGCGCGGATCGCTATACACTGGACATTGTTACGGAGTCCAGCGACCGCTCGGCCTGACAGCGGTTCGAATCCCTACTGGTTTCGTTCTTTCGACTTTTCTATCTGTTCACAGTCACCAGTGAAAATTTACGCGACACGTCAATCAAAACGTCTTTCTGAAGCTCTTCTCACAGTGACAGTACAGAGCGAGTGGCGCGCCGACTTCACGCGCTTGTTTCGCGAGGTTTCACCGTGAAGTGGTAA